CCCTTGCACCTCGTCTTCCCCGATGTCGCCTTACACGTCATTAACAGTTATTGTATCTCATCTTACTCATTGTAATTGCTAAAGTTTAGATAGATGGATGGATGTTTGTTAGTTTGTTGTCTAAATCTAAACGGATCTCGATGAAAGGCATAGATATAGAGGATAGTCTGAGAGAAAACTTAGGCTACTTACTTTTGCTTTTTTTAATTCCACGCGGACAAAAGCTAACTAGCTATATTAAGACATATTTCTGATGTTGTGGTTGTTTAAATATTCTCTGAAGTATCTTGGGAGGAACTAAACATATTTTGTTGTTGCACTTATTAATACAAGATCCTGGCTTGAGCTGAGTGCTTCAGATACGTAACATTTTATGCGCGCTAACTTCCAGTTTATGGATATGTTATGAAACTCTTAGTGGCCATGTTACAAGTAAATACATGGTACTTTGTTGTTGTACCGTCAAAACTTGGTATAACTTTAATTAAGTAACTCATTTTGTTTGCTATTTTCTAGTATAAATAACTAGCTGTTCCCGTGCGGCTTCATCCGCATAAAATTATGAAAATTTTATATTATTGTTTACGTTTGTCAAATTATCAATAGGTCAAAATGACATGACATGACAATCCTTGGCAATTTTGCGTCCTTGATGTTGGCAGCGAGTTATGGTCTCTTTCCCACATTAGGGTTTTTATCAAAAATATTTACCCCCTAAGTTTAATGGCTTGAAAATATATAGCCTAAAACGTGACGCAAATGTAGGGCTTTTTAATAAAAGCATTATTCAAAAACATGTAATTGCTGACATCTTAGGCAACATAGAATTGTGTGTTTACGCTTTATTATAAAAGTATAGATTAAAATAAACAAACAATATACCCGACTGTACTTCTAGACACTCATAGGCAAAGGATTTTAAAAGTATATACAGAGTGTTAAAAATTAATAAAGTTGTTTATTTTGGGCAGCTACGGCTGTAATTTTCGTCAGCCTTGTTTATTAGATTTTTTTTACAATTAATTATTTTTATAACAGGAAGTAATTGTGATTCACTTTGGCGCTTTGCCAACTTGCTTTAAATAAATCATGCTAAGTTCAGCACCTGCACGCGGAGCCGCCTTTATGTTGCTTAAGTATACAGGATGTTTTAAAAATTGCATTTGATTAAATTGTTTATAAAATTTTTTTTTTAGTAGTTTCTAGTCTTTATTCTTGTTTAGAAGATTAGATTTTTTAAATACAATTATTGGTATGTAATCTTATGGTAAATTTTTATGATTCTTAGAGCCGAGGTAGTAATTGAAATATGTTTTTCTCTGTCTCTCTTCCAATGAAATGTAACATTTACATATCTTATCTCTGTTTCCTTTCCTTTTGTTGACGCGATCGCAAACTCAGACGCGACGAATTCCATGAATTATTGCGAAGCGTTGATACACCTTGGAGCTGATTATATTTTTAACGATTTACAGCAAAAGTTAAAGATCAAAGTAGACGTATCTCAAGTATTTCTTTCTACAAAAAAGTCATATTAACTTTATATCAATTAGTCGAATCAACCAAGAAAAAAACATTTTAAAGAAAGTACAGTACATGTTGCAATGTGTTTTTGAGCTGATTAAATGTTTATTATTATTATTATTAATCCACGTATCTTTATTTCTTACTCTCTATATAATACATTTTATAATTTTTAATAAAAAAATAAAATAAAACATATTATAAAAAAAAAAAATAGAGCACCACCGGCTGCGTAATCCGTCGACTCAAGCAACCAGTGATCAGGGCTGGAGACAGGAACCTCCTCACTATGCGTGTGGTTTCTAAAATAACCGCCTTTTGAATCGGGTCCTTAATCCAACTGTCTAGCGAGAGCTTCTTGAGTCAAAGCTCTTCGCTATTAGCCCCTGTACCGAAACAACTATCGGAATAATGGTAGTCGATTTCATACGCCACATGGCGGTAATCTCGTAAGCCAAATCCAAATATTTTAATAGTTTTTCATTTACGGCTTTCACGAGATTCTCGTTATGTGGGATAGTTATATCGGCCACTATTACACAATTATGTCTTTATTATTACATTATTATTATTTCTGGGGAAAAAATGTTAAGGAATAAAAAGATACATTTTACTGAAATATAGCTTTAATCAGTTTTTAATAATATGTTTGTATGTACATAGCACTTAAATACTACATAAAAAAACTGGATGTCTACAGTAAAATTGTAAAAATATCGTACATTTTCGACAATGTAGACGTGAAATAAAATAAACCAAACAAATCGATTAGATATATCAGAATGTTTGCTTATATATTTATTTGTAAAAACGTAAACAAATTAAAATGACAGTTTAAAAATGTGTTAAAAAAACGCATTAAAATTCTTTGTTTAAAAACAAACACGCTGTATAACTTCTAAATATTGATATAGTTAAAATTATCACTTTATCGATTCTTAACATGTATTGTAATTTGTGCAAGCAATATTATTACAAGGTGCTAACTGTTAGTAAATGAACGATTAAAAAGAAAAAAAAATATTTAAAAAATTAGCACCAGCACAAGTCCTCTCACAAAAAAACTTGTTCGACTTGCACTAATAAATGTTTCTAGATTTTTCTTTTAAAATTTCATTTATCTCTATGTATACTAAATAATGATATTCTTGTTAGATTGTATTCAATAATATATGTTAAATACACAAAATAATTGATAAGTTTTAAAGTAAAAAATTGACATTTCCTAATGATATCGTCAAATGACTTACATACATTACATTTAAAACAATAGTTGTCATTTTAGGAACTATATTCACTATTGAAACATACAAAACCCAGTTTTACAATCCAATACATGTGAAACAATAGAGTAAAAATAATTATTTTTTTTTAAATAAAAATACGCTGATCAAATCTATTCCGTGAATCCATGCTGCCAGAAACATTCTCAGAAAAATGGTTATTGAAACATGTTTTACGTGAATGTATATTCGGTGCAAACTCACGATACACGATATAATTGCTAGACGTTACATTGTGTTTAAAATAAAACCGTTGGGCTAAACCAAAATAATATTAACTTAGAAGTAATGAAGTTAAATATTTTAGTATGAGATGATGGAATCACACATATTGCAAATTTAATTGCCAAAATTATTTGAATTATAACTAAAAATATCAATTTTAAAATTTCATACTTTCAAACTGGTATATGAGATCATTTTTTGTATGCAACACGTGTGATTTTGTTAGAAGAGTGAATGAAGAACGCTTTACGTGAACTATTGACGTCATCAATAGTTCCAAAGCGATTGACAAACATTTTCAGTCTTCCAAATAACTATCTAGTGTTAGAAACAACCTAGCATCACTATGAAAATAAGACCAATGTTTCCTCCTATGGGCCGATTGATTCTATGCAAACAACTAAAAATTTTGTTAATGCTGATGTTGGGAATGTCATGAATCAATTTGGAATCAGTCTTGGAAATGACGAAGATAATGCAACTGGCAAGTTAACTACCGTCACGCTGCCTAATCAGTACAAACAATAAATACTTAAATGTAACGTAAGATGTACAAGGTTATATTCCTGGCATGTTACACTAACTACATTTACTTACGTTAAAACTTCCGAATGGTCCGTAATATTGTTACGCAATAGTAAAAAATCTAGCACGAGATTTATATACACGAGCACCGCAAAACAAATTATCCGATTGCACTTTCTCAGGTCATCATCACTGCACTGACGTAATCACTAAAAGCTCATTGGCACTTGGTAGTTCGTATTCATAGTCGGCACCTCACACCTCCGTGCCGTCCTCTCCTTCGTCTTCGAACAAAGGCTCGTTGGAATTAACTTCAGTTGTTGGTTTTTTCTTAGGTTTAGGCGGTGGTCTGGGTGGTATTTTACCACTTCTGCCCAATGTCCCTGATTGATTTAATGATACGTTATTATCATTCTTCCTCGTGTCGTCTTTAGACGGCGAGCTCGGATCTTCTTTGCTATCCGTTCGAATGGTCTTCCGCAATGACCCAGTCTCAGGTTTACCCTTACGGCTTAATGTGTTGTTTTCTGGATTGTGCGATGGACTGTCAAAGCTTCTATTATCTGAATTAGAAAACAAAGCCTTTCTCGGTTCAGGTTGTGGGGTAGAAGTACTCTTTGCGGTCCAACTCATCCTTTGATTGACAGGCTCCTGAGGCCCAGGCGTGGACAACTGTGTAGACAATTGCGAGCTGATGCTATTTCTGTTAGGAATGAACGCAGGTGGTACGGGCGAAGGAGCAGGCTCTTGTTCTTCGATAGGTGCATAATACATTTGATGTGGGCTCGGGAATGCCGTGGGTGTTGCTGGCAGCGGTCTATTTCTCATAGGCGAGAACTGTTGTTCTAAACCGGCCTTGTTTAAAGAGAGCACTGAACTTCCGTCTGCTGTTGTCCTTAATCCTAGATTATCGTATAAAGGTTCTTGGGCTTCGGTGCTCGGGAGAATTTGTGTGCTGGCTGTGCTCGACCAGCTGGGTACTCTCGGTCTTCTAGGTATAGTGACGTATCCTTGACGGGGTGGTATATTAGGAGGCGTAATCGGTGCCGTAAATGGGGACTGAGAACGGGAATAAGGTAATGTTCTAAAGAGGTTTTGATTAGTTGCCACACCGTATATTGGCGAATGTATGGGACTAACGGGATTTATTTGCAACCTGCTTGTGTCAGGCACAGTAGAAGCGTTGCTAGCTGCCGGAGATATCTGCGCCGCTCTTGCTGGGAAGGACAGCAGGTCCGGTGGATAGGCTCGCCCATCAGTGCGACCGTATTCCACGTTGAGTGCGTCTTGAGATCGCTTTGTTTGTTGTTCGAAATCTAGCGATCGTTTTTCATCGTCGTTGTGAGCTGCAATAAATTAATAAACATTTAATGACATGAATAACAAGCTTTTATACTCAAAATCCTATGTTGATGATTCAACTTATTACATTAGACAACTTTAAAACATTAACAAAATAAAAAATAAAAATCTTACCAAAAACAGAATCGTTGTCCAATAGCGTTTTATTAAGTTCTGACATCTCTGTAGCTCCGTTGGTAATGGTTGGTGGCATATCGTACCTTCTTGGTGGTTTAGTCACCGGATTGACTGCTGTAATCAAACTCTTCTCCATTTCTGGAATAACCGACCCTTCTATCAATGCCTCTCCATTAGATACATCTCCTTTCTTCTTTTCTGAACTTCTTCTACGACAGCAGCAATAGCAGATAATTACCAAGAGTATCAACAGTATAGCTGCTGCACATGAAACGCCAATTAATACTGGTAACATGTTATTATCCATGCCAGGTGGTACTACGATTCCTGGCGTTGTAGGTGCTATATTTAAAATAAGGCTTTGTTCCTCTACACCGCCAGGGTTCTTAGCCACACATAAATATTCTCCATTGTCAGTGGTACCAACGTCGATAATTGTCAAATTGACCCACTTACTGTTCTCTGAATTGTTCTGCGTAATAAGGTACTTTACTTCACCTTGGTATCTGTACGTTCCATCGATAATTTGAGCATTCAATACCCAATTTACCTCTGGCAATGGATTGCCATCAACTTGACAAGAGAGTGTTACATTTGTATCGGATGAGCGAAGAGTAGTTTTCGAGGTTGGATAGACAATGCTCGGCCGGCAAGCAAAGTCACTTGAATCTAGCTCTTTCCACAGTTTACCGTGAACTTTAGGCGGTTCACTACATGCTATAGGCGATGTATATAGGTTTTTACTGATGACCCAATTCCTGAACGGTTGTAGATAGCAATCGCATCGCCAAGGGTTATCGTGGATGTCTAAATTCGATAAAGGTAATGAATTTATGGTATCCAATTTCATGTGCTCCAACTTGTTACCGTCGAGTCGCAGAATATTTAATTTGGGTAAGTTCATGAAAGTTTTCAATCCCAATTGGACGATTCGATTATTACTTAAATCGACTTTCTGTAAGAAGGGAAGGTTATTGAATAATCCATCTTCTAATTTCTCGATTTGATTGTCGTTAAGTAAAATCCATCTTATCTTCGCTGTCTCTCTGAATGTTTCCGGGTGTAGGGTTTTTAAATCGTTTTTCGATAAGTCTAATTCGATCATAATAGCGAGACCGCTGAGTCCATTTTTGTGTATGGTTATGAGTTTACACTCCCTTAATATTAGTTTCTTTAAATTTATCAGTCGAACGTCTTCGAAGGCGTGTCGTGTTATTTCGTATAGTTCGTTGGCCGTGAGGTCGAGAATTTGTATTTCTGCGCTGAGAGTCTTGGGTATGTCGTGAAAGTTGGCCTCTGAGCAATCTGCCTGCTTGTTGCCGCTCGCCCACACACACTTGCACTCCTGCGGGCAGTTCGCGGTGAAGTCAGCTGCCGCCGACAACAGGAAACATAGTATCAATACTGATATCTTTTTCCCTTCCATTTTATAGCCGGAATCTGTAACAAATAAAAATAAATATTTCAATTAGGTAACATTAAATTGACTAAAATAAGCTAGATACTAATATTTATAATAATAGTTATAAATGCGAAAGTATAGACGGATGGATGGACCTCGACGAAATTTGGCATATATGTAGAGGATAGTGTCGTAGAACACAGGCTAGCTGCTTTTGTTTTTTTTAAACTACATTCCGACATAGTCGCCGGTAAAAGCTAGGGCAATATATTTGTTAATGCTCGACGCTTTGGAATGTAAACTGTCATTTTAACAACAAAATATTATTCTAATCAACACAACATAGTTTTTTAATAGAGTAGTAACAATTAAAGAAGTTTATTAAATGTTATTTGTATGTTAACACGTGTCTGCAACATAAAAATCAACCGCAGTATTTACTTAGAGAGTTGTTAACCTGGTTATAAATGTAAATTATAAACAGTCGGGAGAGCAGGAGGCAACCGCGTGCATCTTGATAGTTTTATGAAGTGTTGCTTTGTTAATTTATTGCCGATAACGCTTTAAGCGATGAGTTTCTCAATCTTTTATGTAGTAACACAGATTTCTTTATAAGTTTTACTGCCGCACTTAGAGTTAGTAAGATCGATCCTTAGATTGTCCACTTAACGAGTGAGGAGGTTGAAAAAAATATATTGTTTTAACGTGTTCATTAAAAATTAGTTACTTTGGGTATCTGTTCTCGACAAAGGCATTGTTTATATAAAATTTTAATCAAAAACCATATAATACTAAAATAAATCATTTATTAGTTAAATTCCTTTTAATTTTAATAATCTCCAATGCACTGACTTGTTGAGTCAATGATCGGAACTGTTCCTAAAAGGTTAGAACTTTTATTGACACAATGAGTTGGAAGGAAAGAAATTAGTTGGACATAACGTGGACAGGGCGTTGTAAAAAATATAAGGTTATCCTTAATGAGAGCAAACAGTACGTGTTTTTCATTAACCTAACTAGATCCCAAACGTGACAATCATATCAAAGTAGAGCAATTTTGGGATAGAATTCTCGTAGGAGATGGAAAAAAATATTCAGGTGTGTATTAAGAAAACCTATCAAAATCTTGACATTTAATATTCTAGACTTCTAAGCAAGATATAATTTGGAAATCGAAAGGCACCAGGTGTCGCTTTATTATTTGCGGAACCTAACTTTATATGCGAATTGGGTAATATTCTAGACAAAATAAATTTGATTACCGATATCGCTAGGAGAGAGGACGAAATGTACAAAAGTAACAAACCAAAAAAATTACTCTTCGGTATGGCCATTTGTATGTACATTTCTCATTCATTATCAGTCAGTCATTCAGTATTTCTTACACAATTTTCGGTCGGAAACGTTTTTCGGTCTTAGATGCTGTTTATAAGAATTATATTAATTGTCAGGTCCATATATTTCCAACATAAAACACAGTAGTTGCGGGCAAGCTAAATGAATCAATTCTCGGTGATTGCTCCACGCTCCAATATAAATTGCTTTATTACAAAACTTATTTATTTGAGCCTTTATTGACTTTAAGACTCAGACGGAAATATATTACCGAAGTAAGGAAATAAATCTCGGATCCTTGAAAAATCTGATTTCCTGGTTTTATACTGGGGTATTTACTGACAAATAGCAGATGATGTACCGCGATTTTCCACTAACGAATTACCTGCACCGAAATATTAAAGTAAATTTTGTTTTTTTTTTTAAAGTAGTATTGTCGAAACTTCCGTGAGTTTTATTCCGAGTATCGTAATACTTTCCAAGATGAATAGATTTATTTAGTAGCATGCATTAAATGTAATGGAGTGTGTACAATTACTACAAAATATTGTGTGTCTAACGGAGTTGAAGACCACAAATTAGGGCAAGGATTAACAGATGTTAATGAGGTTAAAGGGCCTGTGGATAATTGGCGTAATGTGACGCTACCCTAATTGTTCGTCAAAGGGATTATCGTATTAGAAAACGTCATTGTTTCTTGACCTAATTTATAAGATTGATATTACGTAAACAATTGTCGTAAGAATCTTATTCTTATTATAAATGCGAAAGTTTAAATGTATGGATGTTTGTTAGATTTTGTACCCTAAACTGCTGTAAAAATGGTATGCCTACATTAAGCGTGTCGTCCTTGTCCGTCTGACCGCATCTGAAGGCTTTGTTTACGAAGGCTTTCAAGGTCTCAGGGTGTAATGGGCGTGTTTATCTTTTTTAATAAGCAAACAAGTTTTTCTATGTTTGTATATTATAACAAAATATTAAATTGTATTATTCTTTGTAATAAAAACAACGATCTATTTTATATTTTAAAGAGTTTTGATTACGTTTTTTTGTGGGTTAGGTGTGGTTTATAAAATAAGATTCTCGTATGTTTATAAAATAAAACGTATGAAGAAAATGTTTGTAAGTAAATATGTAATCCTGAGTGAGATTTTAACAATAGAGATGGTACATATAATTAAATATACATTATATGATTTGTGTATTTTAGAAATGATTGTAAACATTTCATCAGAATATAATATCATACACCTGAATCAATAGGTACACATTTCTCTCCATATGACAAAACTAATGAATAATCCCTTTCGTATTACAACTACAGTACGCGATATTTATGTTGGCTCGCAAAAGTTTTCTGTTGATCAAATGAACTAAGATTTTTGTAGAACCATGTTTTGCCTCATTGTGCTCAATTTTATTTTAATAGTGCTGTTAACATCGATATAAATCTGAAAATAAAATGGTACTGAAAGAAGGATCTTTTTCTCTTCCTATATGTCCTTTTTCCCACCCTACAAAGGGGAAGGGGAAGGGAAAGAAAACTAGAATTGAGTGTCCGGAATACAAAATTGCGATGGCAACGCTTTACAAAACGGAAATCTCGTTTTTTGTCCTTCGTGCCAAGTTAATGGTGCGTACTATACATTGTTATTGTCCCAACCGACATTGATTTCGACCTTTTGTCTGATCATATCACAAATGGAAAGGTGAAGGGAACGCGACAAGGGATTTGTTTGGTCGAATTATTACAGTCTTTTTTATACAGAATTACGCCTTGTTATATTTCGGGCCGGTAATTTAACTAATATTACAATCTGAAAAAACGTTTTTTATTTAGTTTTCAACATATATCTAAAATATCTTTTATAATCATCTATACTCTATACTAATATTATGAAGGGGAAATATTTGTATTTTAGTATCTATTTGATTCACGTAAAAATTACAGGCCGATTTTAATAATTCTTTCAACATAAGAAAGGTAATTTATCTGTGAGTAACATGGGCTATATTTTTTAATTTACTATCGAAGTCGCGGGCAAAAGCTAGTCTTGTATAGAAATCATAACAAGGAATCTTTTATTCGAAATATGTGGTGTGTTAATGATTGTGGTCACTAAGTCTTTCTTAGTATATATTTAGTAGGAAAAATCTACATTTGCAGTTTAAGTAATAATTGTGCTGCACTTACGTAACTTTCATATTGATTCTGTTTTTAATTTAAATTTATCGAAATTATGCGTCTTACTTTTTGACTAACTTCCCAAAAGAAGGAGGTACTCATTTCGTCGATGTTTTTTTTATTTTTTTTTATTAACAATAGAAGCAAAAAGTGTAGTATATTGAGTTGTAAAAATGTTAGGTAAATGCTTGCCGATTTGCGAGTGAACGTGTGAAATCCATCAAGATTTTCTCGAATACAAATAGATCGTGTAACGTGGCTGTGAATAATAAACAGCTAGAAGACGTGGACGAAAAAAATAGTTTACTTTTTAGCATCGAGCTATTTACTTGTGAATTTGTAACCCTAAAATGCTTAAAAATGTGTTGTCTCTGTCTTTTCGTCTCTGTCACTCTCTCTCTCCCTGTCTTAAAAACATGTTTTTAAATGAAGATCAGAGAAATTACGGATGACGAGTAGAATGCTCATTTGCCTACTTCAATATAATGCTGCAGTGGCTATATCAAACTTTAGGTATCCTAATTTTAGTCCCTTTCCCGTCCCACCCTTTTCTTATGACGAAAGGATGGGAAGGGAAAGTGGATTTGACGGTGGAGGCGATGTATGTGCAGGGGAAATATCCTATTCATGTGCGTCTCCTCCTCCTCGTTTTCGTTGTTTCCGTATGTTAATGTTTTTCGTATGAGTCAAACTGCATTACCGCTAATCTAACAAAGTAAACACAAAAGCACGTAACGGCTGGAAACGCTAAGTGCTGCTCTCTGGTGGAGGGAGTGATAATTAATGATTCATCCGAAAGCAACGCCGATTTGGTGCTAAGTTAAATTGTGTAAGATATTTGTTAGTAAATGGTTGCTAATTTTATAGATACGATGTGATTTGATATACTTATATGATAAATATTAAATTACACAGACGGTAGAATAAAAACTATAATAAAGATTTTCGGAGATCTAAGCGTTTTTTCCTCTCACTATATTCTGAGACCAAAAATAATAGCAATGAAAAGAAAGTTTGTTATAAAACTAAGTAACTTAACCATTATCAAACTTGCACAATTTTAACTACACTAATTACACTAAGAGGTATTTTCCACTGATAAAAAATCCGCACTACTATATTTGCATTGTGTTCTGACAGCTTCGATTATAACAAATAGCTATTGCGCAGCTAGTTTAGTGAAACAAGGGTCTAAGGTGGGGCGTTCATTCACAAATTAGTGTACGTTGCATTCATTAAGAGTTTCCGATCTACTGACCCAGTAAGAGAGCAAACAGTTTTGTTGTAACTGTGCCGATGGACAATTAGTGCTGTTTGATATATTACGCCGATTGCAATAATTATCAGCTCCACTTAGAGAAGTGGGAGAAAGAAAGATGAGGAAATGTATTATTGCTTAATTTAAATTAAAACAAAACAAAATAACATGAGCCATCTGAATTCGCCGAAATAGTGACGCGACCGATGAATAAACATGCAAAAGCATGCAAATAGAAGAGCATATCTCCCCTTCCATGC